TGGATTACACAGAAGGTTTTTTTGCACTTATTTCAATGTGAGCACAGACTATTATCCTGAGGATTAATTTGTTAGGAAACATGTTGCACTATATTAATTTCCTGTTTTTGTGGAGATTGTCATTCGGAGAAGGCGAGATCATCTTGGAACAAATTAGGGTTCCACTTAGGGATGAAATAAAAGAGACATTTTGAACTTGCACATATGCACTTTATTGGATAAAAGAGATATTGACCTATATTTAGGTGTCATAACGGACCTTTCTGAGAATATTATTGGCAAGAGCTGGTTTTGAAATCATTTTTGTCCTATTTCTGCTGGGAGTAGCAGGTTGTTTCCAGCTGCTTAGTTTTTAAATATATATTTCATATTGTTATTTCATATTTTAGAATTTTTGTACGTTTTTGGGTGGACTGTAGGTCACTGCAATCTAAGTAATTACATATTTTTCATCTCAATTGTTCAGTTTTCAGATTGACAGCTGGCAGTCTCAATGTCAAAGGTGGCCCATACACAGACTGATGATCAGTGCTTTTACCATCCCCCAATAGCTAACCTCTTTAGATGCAGAGGCAGTAGCCAGGGGTGTACAGATGCTGCGGTCACAATGCTTTGCTTCATGGCTGTGGCAGGAATTATACCCCTTGTCGCTTTTTGCGGACATAGCACAAGTGAATGAGGCTGCTCTGCAAGTTCCCTGCAACCATGTGCAACGCATGCATTTACCGTACACTTCTGTGGGGTCCAAGGAGTTAAAGCAGGTGATGAGGAGGTGATACAATGCCTGCTCACTGCCTGTCAAATGATCAGTGAACACAAATCGCTCTTCAGAGAGCAAGTGCTAGTGTGAATGAGCCCTTAGTCCACAATGACCATTTCCCTTAATATTCACTATATAAATTCTAGTGTGAATGAGCCCTTAGTCCACAATGACCATTCCTAATAACTCATATATAAATTCCTGCTAACTATCTACGCGAGTTTAATAGCACACATAACAATATTATTCAATTATTATTACATTGCCATGGACAGAAATATCTGCCTTTACTTACAGCAAGTTATCAATGGATGGGAGAATTTTTCTATTTAGTTCAATAGAGGGGTCCAATTAAAGTAGAAAACAAATATTTAGTTGATATGCTACGGCCAAACATCTCTTTGCCAAACTGAATGGGAAAAAAAATCCTGCACACCAAACATCACAATTGGTATACTGAAAGTCTCTATACTGAAGGATTTCTTTTCTAACCGCTTTCATAAATCTTCTTAAAATCAGCTATATGCTACTCTTTCATTAGCAAGAATGGCTTGAGGCAGACAACAAGAGGTCATTAGCACCAAAGATATAGTTTCAGATATTTTGTGCTAAATACCAGGGCTAGGCATTTAGATACTTTCCTGTCCTGCTTTTATGCAAACTATATTTTCAATGTAACTGTGAGAACAGTCTGCATGCCTTAATCCATGAATATAGTATATAACATTAAATAATGTGTGCTAGATACTAATCTACCCTTAACATTTCTATGTAGCATAACCTCATAACTGACAATTAGCTCCATTGAAGACACTGGAAGGTATTTACAAGCAGCTGTAGGCCACTTTGGAGCTGGTCTGTTATCAGTTTGCACAGGTCTACTTTAAGTATATAGTAAGACATACTGTTAGAATATTAGAACAAAAAAATGTATATGTTCTGATGAACAAGTTTCCATTATATACTGCTTTGGTAGAATATACTGTATGGAAAGACAAATAATACAACACAAGCAAACAGTGGCCCGGTTACATGTGTATTTTTGTATGAGACAGTGCTACGTGGTTAGCGTTAAATGTTTTAAAGCGAAGTGACACATGAAAGGCTAAAATTTCTTTAGGTTTAGCATATCCTATCTTGTGCTAGGCAAACCCCTTGGCTATGGTGACTGGAAGTAGCTGAATCAGCAGTCTGATTTTTGTTGAAAAATGCAGTTCATGATGAATGTTCAAAATATTTTGTGAAAGTCAGAATCAGCAACTGGGCTTTTAACTGTCAGTGTTATAAAGCATCAGTATCACAAATAGATTAGTGCCTCATTTTCATATCCTAGTGAGTGAACCATACATTTTCCCATGGATTCTAGACTATCACATTTCACACACAGACATTAGAGTGTTACTAAACCCAGGACCCTGCATTCACTATACCTGGTCTCCTATAGTATAAACAACATGGAAATGCAATTATTTTAGTAAATATAAACTGCTAAATACCTTTTCTCATCAGCAGTTAGAACAGTCTTGTGACTTCTATCAGTGTCCAGCAGAGCACTGGTTAAAGCTTGTAGGAGGAGTTTTTATTTTGCTCTAGGAGGATGCAGAACCTCTGACCTCTGTCTGGACAGTGCTGATTGGCCCTGTGCTGCTCAGATTCACTCTCCCAAGAAAAAGAAAAACCTCTCTAGCAATATACATCAAACTGAGCATGTGCAAAGTGACTCCACACCATATGTCTTATCAGGAGATTAGAGGGGGGCACTGGCACACAGAATATGGAAATGCAATTATTTTAGTAAATATAAACTGCTAAATACCTTTTCTCATCAGCAGTTAGAGCAGTCTTGTGACTTCAGCTGAACACTGGTTAAAGCTTGTAGGAGGAATTTTCTTTCTGCCCTAGGAGGATGCAAAACCCTGACCTCTGTCTGGACAGTGCTGATTGGCCTTGTGCTGATCACTTGCCCTCTCCCATTCAGTAAGGAGAAGGGGGTGGGCCTAGCAGCCTCTGCATCCCGGAAAATCCGGCAGCTGTCACAGACAACATGGCGGTGCTGGAGGGGCTGCAAAGAGGAGGATCCCAGCATATCAACGCTGGATCCTCTAGTTATGTGAGTATGTTTACTGTTGCTGAAGGCAGTAAAAGTTAAGTGGGGGGAGTTTCTCTTTAGGGTACGTTTATGATGAGTGATATTCTGTATTGGCTGGTATAAGTAGGAGACCTTCCCATGGATGTTTCCACAAATTAAAATGGAGGATTGTATTGACCTTCATGTATACCAGAATCCATAGCCCCTTAACCTTTGGACAGGTCCACCAAATATGCTTCATGTCACCTAGGTCTGAACAGCCCCGAATACAAGTAGACGGGTAGGTTGGAAGACATCCATAGCCTTTTAACACTTGGGCAGTTCCACCATATATGCTTCATGTCACCGAGGTCCAAACAGCCCTAAAAACAAGTATACAGGTAGATTGGAAGACATCTGGCGATCCTATCTGGAGCATACTACCACCAAGACATTATAATAATTCTGTGGTGCCAACACATTACAAGTGGATTTATGAAGTGTCTCCCATATCTTATTCCATTCTTAAGGGGGCTTAGAGGCTTCAAAGTCCTGCTCCCACTGAAGACAGTGTGTTGGGGGTTTGTAAATTGTTACCTAAGATAGAGTATATAATTGAAACCAAGCCATTGATTGTCATTGGGCTGTTTACATTTCAAGGGACGTTGCACTTTGCAAGGGAATTTTCCACAGTGCTTAGTGCATGAGGTGAACCTCTGCTGACTTCCATTATCTAATGTTCAAACAAAAATGAAGGTTTTTTTTATTTTCCTTGCATGTGATTGGTTATTCTTTCCAATGTGAAATTTAACCACATTCACTAAGCTCTGGAGCAAAGACAACTTCCCTTGCAAAATGAACAGCCAATTAGTCTTTAATAAATCACTCCCTATATTTCCACGGAATTCTAGTTATAACATTTGACCACTATGGAGTTGCTACACATGTGCCAAAACAGTCCAATATTTGGATATTGGGGAAAGGTATTGCATCTTTACTAAAACTTCACAACAAAGTAATTTATACTTCTGCAAAAAATGTTAACCCTCTTTTAAAGAGGATTTATAGCATTCTAAAAAAAAATATGTTGCGTTGTGATCAGAATAGTAGGATATATTAAACATACACACAGTCAAATAAGTCAAGAGGTTGACACACTTCCCTCCCTTCCTGCTTATAGAGATGGAGCAGCTCTATGGACAGGCAGAGGTAAATAGACTTGTGTCCATTTACACCCACCTACCTCTGTCCAGGTTCGTCCTTTTCCATTTTTTCGGCCCTAAACATGACAGATCAGAGGTAGCCTGGTGTGAAGGTCCTGGGCCCTTACAGAATGACAGGTAGTACCCCCTTATCCACGGCCTTGGTTAAGCTGCTGTTTTACTGCCCTCTGACTGCTCACTTAAAGAAGAGCAAGCAGCTGCTCAGGGCTGTGAACATGCCATGGATACAATGTTTTTCTTAACAGCTGCAGCAAAAATTAAAGCATATGTCGCATTCAGTGGGCAGCGCTGCGGCCGACTGCAATTCTGTTAAAGTGTTACTAAACCCACAACAGTAAAATCAGTCTGTATATGCAGTAAAGCATGCTTGTTATACTCACTGGGTAACCGAAGGGGTTAATCCTCTGCATTGTGTAAAAAGGATGTTTGATCTTGTCTTCTCTGATCCTCCCCTTCTTCCAGTGCCCCCCTCTTATCTCCTGATAGGACATATGGTTTGGAGTCGCTCTACACATGCTCAGTTTGGTGTATATTGCTAGAGAGGTTTTTTTTTCTTGGGAGAGTGAATGTGATCAGCACAGGGCCAATCAGCACTGTCCAGACAGAGGTCAGAGGTTCTGCATCCTCCTAAAGCACGGGTGTCAAGCTGGCGACCCTCCAGCTGTTGCCAAACTACAAGTCTCATGAGGCATTGCAAGATTGACAGTTACAAGCATGACTCCCAGAGGCATGATGGGACTTGTAGTTTCAAAACAGCGGGAGGGCCACCAGTTTGACACCCCTGTCCTAGAGCAAAATGAAAACTCCTCCTACAAGCTTTAATCAGTGCTCTGCTAGACACTGATAGAAGTCACAAGACTGCTCTAACTGCTGATCAGAAAAGGTATTTAGCAGTTTATATTTACTAAAATAATTGCATTTCCATGTTGCTTGTACTGTGAGAGACCAGATATAGCGAATGCAGCGTCCTGGGTTTAGTAAAACTTTAAGTGTATGGGGGCTGTGCTGAAACTGTGCATGCAGTTGCATCTCTTAGAGATTACCTGCTCATCTCCTGTCAAATGCCCCATGAAAAGTGATCTACTGAGGATCATTTTTCAGATTGGCGGCAAGGGCTGCTGCACATCACAACAAGCCTTTAGAATTAGATTGAGGCTTTAGCTAATTCATTCCAAAATTTTAAATTTAATTTGAAATTGTATTTTTTAGGCATTCTGCTGTGGGCTTTCTTATACTGTAAGGCTTCATTCACACCATACATACAGAAAAGCTGATAGAAACTGACACACAGATTGCACTGGCAGAATCAGAATATTTCAGTTTTCATGCACCCTTCAATTATTTTTATACATTGCAGAATCATCCACAGAAACAATCTGCACATGATACTAGTATTATGGTGTGAAATGGTCACATATAGAAAAAGTGATTTTGTTGTGCCCTTGCAGAATGCATGCAGAAAAACTGAAGTTTTTGAACCATGGAGCGAATGAGCCCTAAGTGATAAACATTTGCTGCATAACTCAACTGTGTTTCAGCTTTAGCTCACAGCTTAATGGACTGATTTACTTGGAAAAATTCCTATACAAAGAGTACATTGTGTGCCCTTAATATAGTCAGGATACCCAAGTCCTGTAGAAGTACAACTCTTTAGACCATCACACTGCAGCCACGATGCCTGCTATTATGTCTTTTAAAGTAAACAGTTGTATATGGTTTTCATAAGATATACAGGCGTACCTCGGTTTACGGACACCTCAGTTAACGTAATTTTCGGTTTACGAATGAAACTCCATTAAAAATAATGCATCGGTTTACAATTTTTTTTCACAATACGAAGTTTCCCCGGGATGCATTGCACCTGGGAGGTATACAGCGCCAGTCCCGTGCCTTTAAAGTGCACTTTATAAAGAGTTTTGAACAGATAAAATACTTTTTTTACTTTTTTCTGACCTCTGGAACGGATTAATTGGTTTTCAATGCATTTACAAATTTATTTTTAATCATGTCCCTGTACAGTATTTATGACTTTAAAATGCACTTTATAAAGAGTTTTGAACAGATAAAAGACTTTTTTTTTTAACTTTTTTATGACCTCCGAAACGGATTAATTGGTTTTCAATGCATTCCTACTGCATTTCGGTTTATGAATTTTTCGCAATACGAAACGTCCCAGAGAATGCATTAAATTCGTAAACCGAGGTACGCCTGTAATTAGGCATATAAAAATGTGATTTCAACGGAATAATTGAAAATATTTCAGTTCATGTTATAATTTGAACATTTTCAGTTTGCAACTTTTTTAAGCCAGATACTCCTATGAGTCTTCATTTAACATGATTTTCATCTAGGATGACTACAACAGTACATATTAGTGTCATTCCGACCACTGAATTCATTATATAGGTGTCCGTTTATGACACAGAGAATAGCTGCGATTCAGAGGATAGCAGCTATTCTCTGGTCATTCACAGTTTATGACACTCAGGATATCAGCGGAGAACATGTTCAGCCCTTCACTGGAGATCTGTGTTCTCCCTCCAGATTCTCCAACCCAGAGCTGGAGAATCGGAGGGACCGCAAACTAAGCAGCGATAATTTACCTCTGCTTAGTAAACTGATCTTTTACTGTAATCTCGAGAGATTATAGTAAAATCAGCCATTTTCCAGTGGTTGTAGACCGTTCTCCAGCATTTGGAGACCATTCTCCTTTCGTTTGGAGAACTGCTTCATAAAAGGCATTCACAGGAGAACTGTGTTCTCTGAGAATGCCGGAGAACTGAGCAGTGATCTATTACCACTTGTTCATAAACGGACACCTTAGTACGGACTATGTAAGGGCACAGAACAGCACCGTAGTATAATTTTTCCTTTTTTTTTTTTTTAATGTAGCATATTCGGGCCCAACACCTGGGCAGCACAGTGGCTAAGTGTTTAGCACTTCTGCCTGGCAGTATTAGTGTCATTGGTTCAAATCCCAACCATTGTGCCACCTGCCTGGAGTTTGCATGTTCTCCCTATGCCTGCGTGGGTTTCCTCTGGGTACTCCAGTTTCCTCCCACACTCCAAAGACATGCTGATAGGTTAATTGGATCTTGTCTAAATTGGCCCTAATATGTGTATGAATGAATGTGAGTTAGGGACCTTAGATTGTACATCCCTTGAGGGTTAGGGACTGATGTGAATGTACAATATATGTATGTAAAGTGCTGCATAAATTGACGGTGCTATATAAGTACCTGTAATAAATAAATAAATATAGCACAAAGCATCTGTGTAAGGTCAAATAAATCAGGCACATTGGTCTCTTTATAATAAAAAAAAATTACATATTTGTAAATCTCTTTAGCCAGCATAACACAAAAATGTCAGGAGTAAACTAGTGTTATAACATTCATAGACACATATGCTATGAGTATTTTACAAGTGTTTGTCATCTGTCTGTATAGTCATAGCAGGTATCCTGTAAAAAAGAGCAGATTTGGCTAATATATAAAAAAAGTAATGTCTATAAATTTAAAAATGATACATGTTCATGGTCTTTGTGTTGGTTGGGTCACTGAATCTCGGTTGGCTGATCTTCCAGTTTTAATTAAAGTAACTTAAAAGTAATGCTTTGGAAAATAGCCAATAGTGAATTAGATCATGACAGCAGACATGGATGTTAGTGCTTGCACAGGTTATTTTTGTCCCAACGTTGTTTTTGTGTGTGACAACCACTCTCTTATCCCACTTTGCTTCTTTAAAGATCTGCCAGAGGCATGCCCCAGCATGGATCATCAGCATCTGGGAGATTCCAATCTGTTATCATCTTAACTGTTGAATATATTATCATGGTAGCTCTTTTAGAAGGATTCTATGTGAAGCTCTACAAACTATTTGTTGGTAAAGTTAGAACACCTGCTGTGGAAATGTTAAAAAAAAATGGTTTGCCTGTTTTGTTTTTAAGCTAATCATTGTTAAAAATGAATTTCCTATTGGTGGCCCGGTTGCAAAAAGACGTAATAATGACTAAATTTGCTAACCCAATAATGATTGCAGAGGTTTTTAAACTGCTAATAATCATAGAGCCCTATTATTAACAGTATCAGCTGAAAGCAAGTAATTGCGCATGTCCAAGCATTTTGCAGTGTTTCAAAAAGTAGAAAAATGCTTGAAATTGTTCTTCGCAGGACTGGGTCATTAGAGTGAACCTTCACTCCCCTGAGTGTGTTAAGGTACCTATACTCCTTCTCCCCTCTGCAATATAAAATGGCAGTTGTTTCCTTTTTTTATTTTTTTGCTTGCCCCACCACCATTTTTACCTACGGGAGACTCACGTGTCCATGTGTACCCCCCATCACATTCCAGGAGGCTGAAGGAGTAGGGGCACAAAGCGACAGAGCTGATGCATGTCATTGTGGGCCCGTTGCCAGAACACAAAGGCCTCATACACACAGGGTGTTTTTGCAGGCACGTTTAGGAACATCAGGCGTTTTTTTTTACTGCTTCCAAACAGCCCTCTATGTTATCCGGTGTCCATGCACACATAGATTTTTAGAAGCTTTTAGTAGCAGTAGAGTTTACCAGCAGGAAAAAACAACCCAGTGCCAGTGCATCCAGGAGCAGCAGCGTTTTGGCAGAAAAAATGCTTGATGCGCCAAAATGCATTTAAACGCTAGGTGCATTTAGCACTTGAGTGTTAAGTCATTTCAATGATCAGAATAAATTATCATTCTGGCCAATTAAATTAATTAATGCCAAAGTGCTTGATGCTTGTAAACAAGCCTAAGCGCCTGTAAAAGTGTCATACGTGTCAAAAGTGTCAGGCGTTTTTACTGAGAAAATGGTGCTGCCAGACGGACAGCTTCTGGGAGAGTTTTATTTAACCTCCCTAGTGGTCTGATTATGTCCATATTTCTGTGCTCAAAGCAGTACATTTTTTTTCATGGAAATATGTATTTTTTTTATTGTAGACCTGTAATTTGTAGGAATAACTCACTGAAATCTGTCCGAACAAGAGTCTAGTAAACATCCCGGGTATGTTAAAATTTGAAACACGAAATCATAAATTATAATTTAATAAATAATCATAAAAAATAATAATATAATAATAATAAATTGAATTAAATAATATAATCAAATCCAAAACACTGAAATTTGAAATATAGCGCCAAGTTCACACATCACTGAGCAAAGTCGCAGAATCGTTTTCAGTGTCTGATGACGAATTTCCCCACAAATCATTATCACTCAATTCTGCAAGTGGTTCTAATTTACTATCACTGTTCACTAGCTGGTCTAAAACCGCTTTTGACCTAAAGGGATGCTTTTTGGACGCCATGGACGTTTCTCAGTTTTCAGGCAGAAAGAACAGTAAAAATGCAGGCAGGGCACAGGACAAAGCACTCGGGACAAAATGTATGTGAAATGGTTTGATACAGTAATGTTTTACTATGTTATTTTAGTGAATTTAGTGAATGTCACTTTTACAACTTTCAAATTTCCCGCTAGTTCCGTTCCCCATACGTCCCGGCGTCACAGGGAACGGAACGCAGAAGACAGATGATGTCATCGGCTGGAGGACATTGCCGGGGACACTGCAGGAGGGGCATCGCGGGAGCGCAGGACAAGGTAAGAGAAGAACAGATCCCATGCAAGGTATTCCCGAGTGTAGCTCGGGGTTACCGCTTGTGGTACTGAAACTTTACCCTGAGCTACACTCGGGAATACCGCCAGGGAGGTTAATGTCCTGTGTGCATGAAGCCTTTAATATAGCCAACTCACAATCACCAAAATGGCACAGAGACCTGGCCTGGCCAGAGGATAACACTGGATCTTCTGGAGAAGTGAGTATGTGAATGGAGGACAGTGCTGCATAACAGGTAGCAGGGGGTTCTTTTGGCTGTGCTTCTCCTTTGGGATCACCAGAGTGCAGTTCGTTCTCCACTCCTGTGACCCGTTTTCAGCCAACAGCAGCCTGAAGTTCGCTGTTGGCTGACATCACTCAGCTGGTCCAGGCTGGGTAAAGATCCTGACTTTAAAGTTGGGATCCACCCCAGAGTCTGGAGCAGCACCTGGCTCAGCCTCTCAGCAAAGCCTGAGTCAGCCGCTCCTCCCCCCCTGCACAGTCCAGCGCTCCAGTGATTGCTGGGAGAGGGGGCAGAGCAGAGCGGTGACTGACAGTCAGTGCTCTCTGCTCACAGCAGCGATGAGAACTCAGCGATCAGTGGTCTTGTGATCGCTGAGTTCCCACACTTCGAGCCGGAAGGGGACAGATGCAGCATAAGACTAATGCTGCATCCACCTAAGTAAATGGGGGATGGGAGCCCTACTTCTCTTTTAAAAAAAATTGCAGTAATGAAGTTCCTCTTTAATGTGTCCTCATAGGTGATAATGTAATGTTTTCAGTAATAATAGTAACACCATGTTCAGCATTTACTGAGATAATAATACTGGGTTCCGTTTGTGGCCTTGTAATCCTCATTGTTACTATTTACAAACCTTTGCCAAGTTCATATATTTCTTGTATTTCTTGTTGGAAGGTTTTCCCCATATTGTTTTGATACTACTGACAATCCTTTATGATCTTTGTGACCTAATCAGGGGCGGACTGACCATTTGGAAACTCAGGCACTGCCTGAGGGCCCGGGGTCAGTAGGGGGCCCCATGAGATGCCCCTGGTACCTTTTTCATAGGCTTTTTTGAGTTTGGGCAAGGACACAGGGGCCCCATGATCCCCTATTGCCCAGGGGCCCCATGAGTTATCAGTCCACCCCTGGACCTAATTATGTTCAAGTCTACACATCCTTAATAGTAATGATGATAAACACAAAAAATTGAGCAAGGCAAAACTTGTTTTAAAATGCTATGCAAAATCCTGCAAGTCTAGGACATATAAATGTATGTATTAAGAGTAGAAAAATTGCAACCTGCAAACATAAAAAGAAATTGCCATTTTTTCCCCCACTTATTTTCTTTCTGATTTCAATAGAACAATCGGCAAAGTGTTCAGAAAGTGACACATTTTTGCTTGCATAAAAGTAGACTAAAACAAATTCAACCTGACTTCTTAAAGTGATATTAAACCTTCAGTTTTTTAACTACTTTAGCAGCTAACAAACTGGTTTGAGACTGCACTGTCCACTATTAACTTTTTCTTGTGAAGACGGGAAGTTCAGGGAGGCAGAACTGGAAGACCTGGACGCTGGACTATTTGTAATGAGGGATCAGCTAACCTCAATGCTGACCCTTCATTACACTTCATGATTCTCTGCAAATTACTACCCTGTGCTGAGATCTATAACTACTGTATCGCGTACCCCCACAAGAGTCGCTTGATATGCTGGGTCGTCCGTACTGCCACAGCTCACCATTACACCTGGTTATGAGTTGTAAACTGTTCTTACACCTGTGTAACTAGGGCTGGCCATACATTATACAATTTTTCTTGTACAATTTTCCTTTAGGTTTGAGCTCATAATCTATAGTGGTATTTTCAAACACTTTCAATTTGTATGCAATCAGGCAGGCCCTTGCACAACATAGCTGAAGGTAAATCTCTATAAAGGAAATTGAACAAGAAAATAGTATAATGTATGGCCAGCTTTAAGCGTTAGTATATTACCACACCTTGCCAGTATTCAGGAAATAGTCAACAGAGTGTTAGATAAGGTAAGTATATTGTAATAAGGCAAGGCAAACACAAGGCTTAATCTTTTAGGCAGGCAACTGAACACATTTAAAGATGCTGAACTAAATAGGATGAACACTGGCCTTTATTATGGCAATTACTATACTGCAGTAATTCTAAACCAACTTTAACCAATGCATACAGGATCAAAAGTATCAGGGTTAGCTAGCCCAAAAGAATAAAGGTCACTGTGCGCAGATGCCACATACAGCCCTGATAGTGGGTGGGAGTATGCATTCCTGATAAAGGATTACCCTTGGAGGTGACTGCAAATTACCTGGCTTCTAAACATGACTGTTGGCCAGCTTTCACTGGGGCCCTTCTGTAAGGTGGTGTCAGTGAAGCTATCCCTTTAAAAGTGTGTAATGGATGGCTGATGGGCTGCTGAACTGTATTGCATTAATTATCAGTGTAGAGATGAGCACAAATGATTCAGCTCACTCCTCCTGGCGTGCAACAGGTCTGGTCCCATATCCATTGACTTGGGTACAACCAGCATGTCTCAACCGTTGGGAGATCACAATAACTCCACAGGAGGGAATCAAGCGATTTTCTTTCCTGCAACCCGTGGTTGCAGGAAAGAAAATCGCATCATCTATAGCCTGCCTAACAACTGTACTTTTATTGTCTCCATCGGCTCTAATACGCTGGGCGCTTTGATTCCTCTTGTATTGAATTGTATTGTAACTGTACTGTCTGCCCTCATGTTGTAAAGCACTGCGCAAACTGTTGGCACTATAAAAATTCTGAATAATAATAATACATTTGTCATGAAGAGGTTAAGGTCACCTATAAAAAAAAAACGGTGCTGGATAGATTTTGTTTACAAAACCTTACAGTGTCATCTAAAGATGACACCTGCTGAGCAGTTGAAAATCTGTTTAACAGATCTGCAGTAGGTTAGGAAATGGTCATTAGGAGTCCCATGATGCAAGACAAGTTATATTTACTTTACAAGTAAAGATCCAGGACAGCAAAGGTAAACAAACAGCAATATGATGCAGAATAAAGCTTACCAGTCTTCTAAAACACAAAACATTTAAAAATTATAGAAAGGAGAAAGCCAAAATAGCTGCACCTACTGCAGCAACAGCATTATAAAATGTATCTAGTCATAAGGTGAACTACTGTATACCCAATCATGGCCAATATATTTTTTATTCTTTTAAAGATAATTGTAATTATATCATAGACAAACCATAACTGAATTCAACAGAAAGGTCTATCAATAAATGGTATGATAGCAAGCCTGGAAAACACCACTTCAGCTAAAATTACCTTTCACAGCGGGAATCGCACAGGAATGCACGGCGCTTTAACACAGACTTCTGTGGGGATTGATCTCAGCTTATTCATTTTGAATGGGCTGAAATCGCACCACACCAAAAGTAGTGCATGCTCTAACTTTGGAAACTCACTGTAAACAAATTGCATGGTACTTTTATACAAAGCAGTTCGGTGCGGGCAAATGCGCCTACTGCAGATCGCAACCACTGTGCGTTTTGAACGTAGTGCAAGAAACATGCACAGAACACGGATTTCCACACCTGTCTATTGTGAACTGGCCCTAAAGATTGCCTTTACTCCCCAAGATTCACTGTATTGTATCATTCCCTCTGCAAGCTCTAGCAAACTGGGTCCTCATAGTGGCTAAATGGTTAGCACTTCCTCCTGGCAGTACTAGGGTCATTGGTTTGAATCCCAACCACAGCACCACCTGCCTGGAGTTTGCATGTTCTCCCTGAGTCGGCGTGGGTTTCCTCCAGGTGCTCCAGTTTCCTCCTACACTCCAAAGACATGTTGGTAGGTTAATTGGATCCTGTCTAAATTGGCCCTAAATTGTGCATATATGAATGTAAGTTAGGGACTTTAGATTGTATACCCATTGAGGGTTATGGACTGATGCAAATGTACAAAATATATATATATATGTAAAGTGCTGTGTAAATTGACAGCACTATATAAGTACCTGTAATAAATAGCTTTTATTTTCTGTTTAGAATGCGATGGAGCGTTATAAATAATAAATCTACAGTATATACAAATCTTTACTCATTCCAGCAAAAAACCACCTAGTCTTTCTTTTTATGGGGTCAACTTTAAAACTGTTTGACAGCCATCTACTGCACCGAACATTGCTCACTTTTGTTATCACAACCCCTTTGAGGAGTTGGTTCCATTCTACCCTTTTACGTCACCATTAGAGATGAGCGAAGTATTCAAAAATTCGATTCGACTGATTCGGCGAATTCGTGGAAAAATTTCGATTCGAGTCGAATATATTCGCTGTGAATTTAACTTAAAAAAGGGTGTTTCTAGGCTTCAGAGAGACTTAATATTAGTGCTGAACACTGTACCTTTAATTTAAATGCCCTTGGAGTCTGCTGGGGAAGAGAAATAATACTGTCAGGCAGTATGACATGCAGATGGAGTGCCGTCGATCTTAGAATCACCGCACACTTCACTCATTTGGCCAGTCACGGGGCCAAAATCCAGAGTGTGGAGCCACAGTGTGGCGGTGGAGGCAGCAGCAATGGGAGGCCATACAGCACCCTATGACAAAAATGGAAACACCAGCAGTTGTGAGGAGACCTGAAAGTGGCACATGGCAGAGTGTGGCGATAGAGACGAGCAGCAATGGGAGGCCGTACAGGGACCCATGACACACTCTGGACCTGGCAGCAGCATGAGGAGGCGGGTACAGGGGCCCATGGCAGATTACGGGGCCTGGCAAGCAGCATGAGGAGTCGGTACGGGGGGCCCATGGCAGATTACAGCCTGGCAGCAGCAATGGGAGGCCGTACAGGGACCCATGACACAATCTGGACCTGGCAGCAGCATGGGGAGGCGGTACAGGGGCCCATGACAGATTACGGGCCTGGCAGCAAGCATTTGGAGTCGGTACGGGGGGACCCATGACACACTGATCTGGACCTGGCAGCAGCATGAGGAGGCGGGTATACAGGGGCGCATGACAGATTACGAGCCTGGCAGCAGCAACTTGGACAGACAGGAGGACGTTCAGTCTTTTTCTGCACCCGTCTTGGTGCGTGCTCGCAAACTGTTGTCTCTTGGAAACGGATTCCAAGAAAGACCTGCTGACGGAATCCGTGAAGGAGGAGTAGCAGGAGAAGGAGCAAAATCTGAACGAGCGGAATATGCCAACAAGCGACAACAGGGGCCCATGACAGATTACAGGGCCTGCAGCAGCAGCATGAGGAGTCTGGTACGGGGGCCCATGGCAGATTTGGGGATCCTGGCAGCAGCTATGGGAGGCCCGTAATCTGCCAGCACCCTATGACAAAAAATGGAACCCACCAGCAGTGTGAGGAGCCTGGAAAAGTGGCACATGGCAGAGTGACGGCGATGGGCGACAGCAGCAATGGGAGGCCGTACAGGGGGACCCATGACAAGATCAATCAGGACCTGGCGTCATGAGGAGCGGTACAATAGCCGCCCATGGCAGCCCATTATGTAAATTCAAGTTACAAACTCTTAGGATCCCTAGAGTAGCACTCACGAAGAGCGTTTTTTTAGGCCTCCTCTAAAGGTGGTTTTTTCCATGGCAGAATTAGGGGGTGTGCTATTAGAGCTAGGAGAAAATGTTAAATGCAAAAATATATTGTAATCTAATTGCCTCAGCACCCTATGACAAAAAGGGGAATACACCAGCATGTGAGGAGACATGAAAGTGGCACATGGCAGAGTGTGGCGATGGAGACAGCAGCAATGGGAGGCGTACGGGACCCATGAGAGGACTCTGGACTTGGCAGCAGCATGTAGTGGAAGGTACGGGTATGGGGCCCATGGCAGATTAAGGGCGGGGCAGCAGCTATGGGCAGGCCCCGGTTAATTCTGCCACACCCTATGACAAAAAATGGAACACACACGCAGCAGTTAGTGAGGAGACCTGAAAGGCACAATGTTTTGGGGCAATGATTCATGGCATGGCGGATTTAGTCAGTTGTGTAGGAACTTGGTGGTTTGAAATCCAGACTAATTCCACGCACTGATTCATTTTCACAAACGTCCAGTCTCTCCACACTTTGGGTGGACAGTCGTTCTCCTCCGCGGAAGTTGCAATAAACCCCACCCGCCACTAAACACTCTCACGCTACCGATGCCACGCTACAGCCCGGGCACGCAATGACAGCCTTTCAAGGGCAAATTTCAGCTAGTTGGGGACCAAAGGTCAAGTTTCGTTGCCCAGTAGTCAAGGGACTTGTCTACCTCGGTTGGCAGGAGTGAATGTCCAAGTAGGACCTAAGCCTGTTGTTTGAGGTACCCTGCTCGGTCACTGATGCTGATTTGCTGCTGCTGGAACGGTCACTGGTTAGTAGTTTCCTCACTGCGCTGGTGAAGAAAGCTACTCATCATCGACTGCAGACTGAGGCATTAGCCGCTGTGGTGGAGCTGCCACTGCTCCTACCACCCACACCCCTCCCTCAGCTGCCATGGCAGCGAGAACGGATGAGCGCACAGGGCCCACAGAAGGTGTGTCTGAGGATGGACTGTTGGCGCTCAGACCGCCAGGGAGACCAGCTGAGAGACCAGGACTACATAGGTGGTTTTTTTACCGTAGTAACGTTATTTTGCGACCCCTCTCTCGAGCAGGTGTGAAAAAAGGCCACCATTTTTGAACGGTAGCGAGGTGGTCCAACAAAGGTGGACAGCCAAAAGTCATCCCTCTGTCTATGTATGATGGTTATTATTCGGCTGTCGCTACTGCAAGCATTTATAACAACGAGCATGCTATGGGGCCATTTGTGCCAAGGAATGCGAGGGACTCCCTGGCTGATCACCAGTCCACTCATTGGTACTGCACACGTTGCGTCTGGGAGTCGGTATATGTCTCCTCCTCCTCCTCCTCTACCAGATGCTCCTGCTCCTCCACTCCTGTCCGCTGAGTGGAAAAAATGCCACCATTTCACGCTAATAATTCCTGAGCACCCTAATGTCACTAAGCTCTACTCCTCTCACTTCTTCCTGTCCTGCCCCCACAGGGGTCATGTGGCGTTGAGATCTGTGCGCCACCGGTCTAATCCGCACCTCTGACCAGCCCATTGTTAACAGCATTTGTTCCAGGACGTGGCAACAGAGATGGAAATGACGTCGTGCTAGTTGGCATCTGTATGAGATGGGCGACTCACGAATAGTCGGCTGGCCTCAGCAAAGGGCCTACTCGAGCAAGCGCAGGTGTCACGCATGAGCTGCCAATGGGATCAAAAGACATCTAAGTTACACAGGGGACAGTACCTTTATCCGCTTTTAAGACATCATGAAATCGCACATGTTCATGGCAGAGAGCAGTTCGTAAATGGGAGTCATAACATTATGTAGGGTTGAATTCCACCTGCTGTATGCAACGTCACAGCATGAAGGAAGGAATCGGTACGGGGGCCCATGGCAGATACGGTGCCTGGCAGCAGCAATTGGGAGGCCCGTAATCTGCCAGCACCCTATGTCAAAAAATTCAACACACCAGCAGTGTGTCTTAGGAGACGCTGAAAGTGGCCCATGCACAGCAGGTATGTGGCGATGAAGACAGCAGTACACAAGACTGGAGGCCGAACAGGGACCCCATGGAGACTCTGAACCTGGCAGCAGCATGAGTGGGGCGGGATAATAAGGGGCCTTCTATGGCAGATTATGGGGCCATGGCAAGCAATGGAAGCCAGTAATCTGCCCAAAACCCAAATAAGCACCTATGTCAAAAATTCTACACACCAGCATGAGATGTGGTGAGGAGACCTGAAAGTGGCAACATGGCCAGAGTTGTGGCGATGGAGACAGCAGCAATGGGAGGCCGTACAGGGGGACACCATGACAGACTCTGGACCTGGCAAGCAGCATGAGGAGGAGGGTATTATATATATAGGGCCCATGGCAGATTAGGGGCCTATGGGAGCAGCTATGGGAGGCCCGTAATCTGCCAGCACCCTATGACTCAAAAAAATTCAACTCAAAACACAGCAGTGGTGTGAGGAGACCTGAAAGTGGCACATGGCAGAGTGTGGCGATGGAGACAAGCAGCAATGGCAGGTCCGTACGGGGACCATGACAGAAACATATGGACTCTGGCAGCAGCTGATGGAGTGCGGTATATAGGGGCCTATGGCAGATTAGGGGCCTGGCAGCAGCTTCGGGAGGCCCGTAATCCTGCCAGCACCCTATGTCACAAAAAAAAGCTGAACACACCGAGCGTGTGTGAGGAGACCTGAAAGAGTGGCACATGTCAGGGTGGCGCTGGAGACAGCAGCAATGGGAGGAGCCGTAACAGAGGACCCATGAGAGAGACTCTGGGCATGGGGCAGGCAGCAAGAGGAGGCGACATACTATAGGGGCGACTATGGCAGATTAGGGGCCTGAAAAGAACAGCAGTTTTAGGCTATGGGAAGGGCCCAGTAAGGACTGCCAGCACCCTAATGTCAAAAAAATTCTACACACCCAGCAGTGTGTAGAGGAGACCTGAAAGTGGCACATGGCAGAGTGTGGCGATGGTGACAGCAGCAAATGGGAGGCCCGTCAGGGACCCATGAGAGACTCTGGACCTGGCAGCAGCATGAGGAGCGGTATATAGGGGCCCATGGCAGATTAGGGGCCTGGCAGCAGCAATGGTAGGCCCCGTAATCTGCCAACACCCTATGTCCAAAAAATTAATGTCACACCAGCAGTGTGGATGAGGAGACCTGAAAGTGGCGACATGGCAGAGTGTGGCGATGGAGACAGCAGCAATGGGAGGGCCGTACAGGGACCCTGAGAGACTCTGGACCTCTGCAGCAGCATGAGGAGAGCGGGATAATAGGGGCCTTATGGCAGATTAGGGGGCCTGGCTGCAAGCAATGGTAGGCCAGTAATCTGCCAGCCACCCTATGTCAAAAAATTCTACACAAGGTACACCCAGTGTGATTGTGTTGAGGGAACGCTGAAAGTGGGACACACATGGCAGAGTTTTTGTGGCGATGAGAGACAGCAGCAACTGGGAGGCCGTACAGGGACCCCATGAGAGACTCTGGACTGGCAGCAGCATGAGGAGGCGGTTAATAGGGGCCCATGGCAGATTAGGGGCCTGGGGTGCAGCAGCTATGGAGGCCCGTAATCTGGCCAACACCGTATGTCAAAAATATTCTACACACCAGCAGTTGTGTGAGGAGACCTGAAGAGTGGCACGATCCTGTGCAGAGTGTTGGCGAGATGGAGACAGCAGACAATGGGAGTCCGTACAGGAACCCATGAGAGACTCTGGACCTGGCAGCAGCATGAGGAGGCGGTATATAGGGCCCATGGCAGATTAGGGGCCTGCAGCAGCAGCTATGGGAGACCCTCCCGTAATCTGCCAGCAACCTATGTCAAATAATTTCTATCACACCAGCAAGTGTGTGAGGAAGACCTGAAAGTGGCACATGGCAGAGTGTGGGCGATGGAGGAACAGCAGCAATGGGAGGCGCGTACAGGGACCCATGACAGACTGCTGGGACCTGGCTAGCAGCATGACGGAGGCGGTGGTGAGGGTATATAGGGGGCCTATGGCAGATTTAGGTGCCTGGCAGCAAGCTATAGGAGGCCCATAATCTGCCAGCACCATATGTCCAAAAAAAATGCAACACACCCCAGCAGCTGTGTGAGGAGACCTGAAAGTGGCACATTGGCAGAGTGTGGCGATGGGAGACAGGCAGCAATTGGAAGGCCGTTACAGGGACCCATGACAGACCTCTTGGACCTGGCAGCAGCATGAGGAGGCGTGCTATATAGGGGGCCTATGGCAGATTAGGAGGGGGGGGGGGGGGGGGGCGGGCCTGGCAAAGGCAGCTATAGGAGGCCCATAATCTGCCAGCAACCCTATGTCAGAAAAATTCAACACACCATGCAGTGTGAGGAGACCTGAAAGTGGCCACATTGGCATGAGACACTGTGGACCCTGGCGAGCAGCATGAAGGAAGGCGGTATATAGGGGCCCATGGCAGATTATGGTTCCTGGGCAGCAAGCTATGGGAGGCCGTAATCTGACCAGGCACACCTATGTTCCAAAAAAATCCAAACACAACAGACCAGCAGGTTGTGTGAGGAGACCTGAAAGTGGCACCATGGCAGAGTGTTGTGGCGATGGAGACAGCAGCAAATGGGAGGCCGGTAACAGGGACCCATGACAGACTCTGGACTTTGGCGAGACTGCATTGAGGATGGCTGGGGTAATATAGTGGGCCATATGGCAGTGATCTAGGGGGCCTGGGCAGCAGCTATGGGAGGGCCCGTAATCAGCCAGCACCCTATGTCAAAAAACTGAACACACACCAGCTGTGTGTGAGGAGACCTGAAAAGTGGGCACCATGCAGAGTGTGGCGAATGGAGGACTAGACAGCAATGGAGTGGCCGTACAGTGGACCCATGAAGAGACTCTGGAACCTTGGCCGCAGAGCATGAGAGAGGCGGTGTTATATAGGGGCCCGGAAGCTCCTGAAGGCGATTAGGGTCCTGGCAGCAGCTATGGAGGAGGCCCGTAATCTGACAGCAACCCTATGTCAAAAAACTGAACACACCCCCCCCCCCCCCCCCCCCCCCCCCACTGCAGTAGTAGTGAGGAGACCTGAAAGTGGCACTCTGGCAGAGTGTGGCGATGGAGACAGCAGCTATGGGAGGTCTCCCATTGTCCCAACATGGCCCATAATAGTCCCAACATGGGCCCCCCTGGCCACGCTTGACTTTTTTCTGGCCAACATATGTCGACATACGGCTACGTTTAATTTTTCTCTTGGTGCGGCTTGAACGAAAAATGTGCCAACACCGGGCCGAGTATGGAAACTTTGCCTCGCCGATACTCCTCACTGGCTGACTGCTGCTTCCTCCGTGCACACCGGCACCCACTACTGGCCGTGGCGTGGTAGGCTGCAGTGGAGCTGGTGCTCCTCTACTCCTTCTACTCCGTGGCCGTTTTGCTCCACTGACACTGCTTCCACTGACACTGCTGCGACCCTGCTGCTGTCTCCTGGGGCAACCCCACACCGACTGTTTCGCTCACTGCCAAGCTGCCACCCTCTTCTCCTGATGATGCGGAAGAAATTGCCTGATGACGACGAGGCTGCCAAGTTGCGATCAACCTCCTCATCATCAAGTAGGGTCTCCGCCTCACTACTTGCCCCATCGGCTGCGTGTGGGTCAGGAGACAGACCTGTCTCTAGACCGGCTACCGGGCCACTCTCCTCGCCACTACTTCTTCGCTTAGCTGCTGAAAAGAAGGCCGGATGTCTCCCCCCCCCCCCGTTCCCTGACCGCCCTCTGTTAGCTCTTCCTCACTGTACAGTGGGCTGAGCCCACAGCATGCGATACTTCGCCTTGGTGAGGGAACACCAAAGGACAGGGGCAGGTAGAGGACACGTGATTTCAGTGGGCTAGGTCCCGGGCCATGCCAACTAAACGGTTGTGTCTGACGTACCCACCGACCGTTGGCTGTAGGTGTCAGAGGTGACCTGGGAAGAGGAAGACGACCGAGCCAACACTCTAATCGATGACGGCAGGGGTTGTAGGTGTGGAGACGACAACGGACCGCTGGATGACACCGGGAGCACTGGCCTCCTGGCTGCGAATAGTGCCTGCCTCGACCCCTTCCTCTGCTGCCACGTATGCTCGCTCCTAAAAACATTGCCTCCTCTGCCACTTTTTTTTTATTTTTTCCTCTGCATGTTGTCTGACATACTATTTTAATTAAACGATTATGTGTCCCTGAGTAACAATTCTCTGTGTCCCATGAGTAACAATTCTGTGTCTGTGCGAGTATAACAATTCTGTGGCCCTAAGTAACTGTTCTGTGGCCCTCAGTAACAATTCTGTGTCTGTCCCTGAGTAAACAATTCTGTGGCCCGTAACTAAAGTTTCTGTGGCCCTGAGTAACAATTCTCTGGCACTCAGTAACAATTTTGTGTCTGTGTCCTGAGTAAAAATTCTGTGGCCCTAAGTAACAGTTTTCTGTGGGCCGTGAGTAGTAACATTCTCTGGCAACTCCGTGAACAATTCTGTCTGTCCCTGAGTAACTCATTCTCTGGCACTCAGTAACAATTCTGTCTGTCCCTGAGTAAAAATTCTGTGGCCCTAAGTAAAAGTTTTCTGTGGCCCTGAGTTGTAACAATTCTCTGCTCACTCCGTAACAATTCTGTCTGTCCCTGAGTAACAATTCTCTGGCATCTCAGTAACAATTCTGTCTGTCCTTCTGTGAGTAAAATTCTGTGGCCCTAAGTAAAGTTTCTGTGGCCCCTGAGTAAACAATTCTCTGGCCAACTCCGTAACAATTCTGTCTGTCCCTGAGTAACAATTCTCTGGCACTCAGTAACAATTCTGTCTGTCCCTGAGTAAAAATTTTCTGTGGCCCTAATCTAAAGTTTCTGTGGCCCTAAGTAACAATTCTCTGGCACTCAGTAACAATTCTGTCTGTCCCTGAGTAACAATTCTCTGGCACTCCGTAACAATTCTGTCTGTCCCTGAGTAACAATTCTCTGGCACTCAGTATAACAATTCTGTCTGTCCGCTGAGTAAAAATTCTGTGGCCCTAAGTAAAGTTTCTGTGGCCTGAGTAACAATTCTCTGGCACTCCGTAACAATTCTGTCTGTCCCTGAGTATGAATTCTGTGGCCCTAACTAGCGTTTCTTTGTCCCTAAGTAGTAACAGTTCTGTTGGACCCTGAGTAACAATTCTGTGTCTGTGCGAGTAACAATTCTGTGGCCCAATATGTAACAGTTCTGTGGCCCTCAGTAACAGTGTCTGTGTCTGTGCGAGTAACAATTCTGTGTCTGTGCGAGTAACAATTCTGTGGCCCTAAGTAAAGTTTCTGTGGGCCTCAGTAACATTTCTGTGTCTGTTGCGGGAGTAACAATTCTGTGTCTGTGCGAGTAACAATTCTGTGGCCCTAAGTAAAGTTTCTGTGGCCGTCCTAAGTAACAATTCTCTGGCACTCAGTAACAATTCTGTCCTGTCCCGAGTAACAATTCTCTGGCACTCAGTAACAATTCTGTCTGTCCCTGAGTAAACAATTCTGTGGCCCCTAAGTAAAGTTTCTGGGGCCGCTGAGTAACATTATCTGGCATCTCTCATCAGTAACCAATTCTGTCTGTTCCCCTGAGTAACAATTCTCTGGCACTCAGTAAACAAATTATGTCTGTCCCTGAGTAAAAATTCTGTGGCCCTAAGTAAAGTTTCCTGTGGCCTTGAGTAACAATTCTCTGCGCACTCCGTAACAATTCTGTCTGTTCCCTGCAGTAAACAATTCTCTGGCACTCAGTAACAATTCTGTCTGTCCCTGAGTAAAAATTCTGTGGCCCGTAATTAAAGATGTTCTGTGGGCCCTATGAGTAACATTTCTCTGGCACTCCGTAACAATTCTGTCTGTCCCTGAGTAACTATTCTCTGGCACTCAGTAACAAATTCTGTCTGTCCCTGAGTAAAAATTCTGTGGCCCTAATTAAAGTTTCTGTGGCCCTAAGTAACAATTCTCTGGCACTCAGTAACAATTCTCCGTCTGTCCCTGGGTAACAATTCTCTGGCACTAGACCCCCTCCGTAACAATTCCTGTCTGTCCCTGAGTAAACAATTTCTCTGGCACTCAGTAACACAATTCTGTCTGTCCCTGAGTAAAAAATTCTGTGGCCCTAAGTAAAGTTTCTGTGGCCCTGAGTAACAATTCTATGGCACTCCGTAACAATTCTGTCTGTCCCTGAGTATGAATTCTGTGGCCCTAACTAGCGTTTCTTTGGTCCCTAAGTAACAGTTTTCTGTGGCCCTGAGTAACAATTCTGTGTCTGTGCGAGTAACAATTTCTGTGGCCCTAAGTAACAGATTCTGTGGACCCTCAGTAAACAGTTCTGTGTCTGTGCGAGTAACAATTCCTGTGTCTGTGCGAGTAACAATTCTGTGGCCCTAAGTAAAGTTTTCTGTGGCCCTCAGTAACAGTTCTGTGTCTGTGCGAGTAACAATTCTGTGTCTGTGCGAGTAACAATTCTGTGGCCCTAAGTTAAAGTTTCTGTGGCCCTAAGTAACAATTCTTCTGGCACTCAGTAACAATTCTGTCTGTCCCTGAGTAACAATTCTCTGGCACTCAGTAACAATTCTGTCTGTCCCTGAGTGAGTAAAAATTCTGTGGCCCTAAGTAAAGTTTCTGTGGCCCTGAGTAACAATTCTCTGGCACTCCGTAACAATTTCTGTCTGTCCCTGAGTAACAATTCTCTGGCACTCAGTAACAATTCCTGGTCTGTCCCTGAGTAAAAATTCTGTGGCCTAAAAGTAAAGTTTCTGTGGCCCAGAGTAACAATTCTCTGGCACATCCGTAACAATTCTGTCTGTTCCCTGAGTATGAATTTCTGTGGCCCTAACTAGCGTTTCTTTGTCCCTAAGTAACAGTTCTGTGGCCCTGAGTAACAATTCTGTGTCTGTGCGAGTAACAATTCTGTGGGAGCCCTAAGAGTAACAGTTCTGTGGCCCTCAGTAACAGTTCTGTGTCTGTGCGAGTAACAATTCCTGTGTCTGTGCGAGTAACAATTCTGTGGCCCTAAGTAACAGTTCTGTGGCCTTCATGTAGTAACAATTCTGTGTCTGTGCGAGTAACAATTCTGTGTCTGTGCGAGTAACAATTCTGTGGCCCTAAGTAAAGTTTCTGTGGCCCTAATGTAACAATTCTCTGGCACTCAGTAACAATTCTGTCTGTCCCTGAGTAACAATTCTCTGGCACTCAGTAACAATTCTGTCTGTCCTGAGTAAAAATTCTGTGGCCCTAAGTAAAGTTTCTGGGGCCCTGAGTAACAATTATCTGGCACTCAGTAACAATTCTGTCTGTCCCTGAGTAACAATTCTCTGGCACTCAGTAACAATTCTGTCTGTCCTGAGTAAAAAATTCTGTGGCCCTAAGTAAAGTTTCTGTGGCCCTAAGTAACAATTCTCTGGCACTCAGTAACAATTCTGTCTGTCCCTGAGTAACAATTCTCTGGCACTCAGTAACAATTCTGTCTGTCCCTGAGTAAAAATTCTGTGGCCCTAATTAAAGTTTCTCATGTGGCCCTAAGTAACAATTCTCTGGCACTCTGACTCAGTAACAATTCTGTCTGTCCCTGAGTAACAATTCTCTGGCACTCAGTAACAATTCTGTCTGTCCCTGAGTAAAAATTCTGTGGCCCTAATAACGTTTCTGTGGCCCTAAGTAACAATTCTCTGGCACTGAGTAACAATTCTGTCTGTCCCTGATTATGAATTCTGTGGCCCTAACTAGCGTTTCTTTGTCCCTAAATAACGATTCTGTGGCCCTCATTAACAAGTCTGTGTCCCTGAGTAATGGTTCTCTGTCCCTAAGTAACTTTTCTCTGTCCCCCAATTATCGTTTCTGTGGCCCTAACTCTGTCCCTGTCCCTAGTACAGAGCGGTCTGCCTCTGTTCAATGACTGCAGGCAAATGAAGAATTCCAAAATGGCCCGCTATTTATAGCTCGACCATTACACAGTGCTGGCTGGCTGGCTGCTGATTGGCTGATGCGATCACATGTAGTTGAGAAATGCATTATGGGTCAGCGCGCCTTGTCTGCGCGCCTTCCCAGACATCCCCGCTCCGTCGCCGCACATGTCAGCC